ATTTGCTTTAGATTATACATCAGATCTTCAAGATTTCTATAGATCTATTGATACATATCCCCTACTACTGCATAGCCTGGGCTTTGGTCATTTCTAGACTCAAAAAGTAATTATTTCTTACATTTCTCATTTAATTTATATGAGTATTTCTTGAATGTGACAATATTGAACATGGCTTCAAAAAACATTATAAACTTTAGTCTTTACTCATTGTAGTGTACTGTTTATATACAGCAAAATATCTACATGCATATATATCTGTCTTTAAAAAAATAAATTTTGGGTCAGGTGCAGTAATTAATATATTTGACGAAAATGTATCGTTGGTCAAACGATGGCCCAACATCTGTTTTAAAGTACATATTTATCGTTATTGGGCCAATGTAGAAATGTCGCTGGCGTTAACTTATGGTTGGTTCGACGTTGGGCCAACAACTGCATTTATAGTACATGTTAATTAGAGTTGGGCCAACCATGGCCCAACAACGATTTTCCTATGACGATTTTCCGTGGTTGGCCCAACCACTGCATGTTTACAGGGTAGCTTGTACCATGAATACAACTTTAGATAATTACCACTGCGTTATGTGGAATCAATCCACAGTTATTTATCTTGGATGATACTGTAAGCACAAGTGACTTTGTCTTGATTGGAGAGTTAGTCAAAATGGTGCAGGGTTTAATGTTTATTAATTTAACTTAATTTATGTTTGAAGAGTTAATAATTATGATATACGAAGAATGTTTTTACTTTGCAGGAGCTATCGGCTATCACACGTCACCACCACTTGTATCCACGGCAAAAGCAGATTTTCAAAGCACAGTCGACATCACCGCTACCGCTTTAAAACGGTCACTTGTTAAAGCCCATGGTAACATATAAAACAATATAGTATAAGAAATTTATATAAACAAGAGCCATGTCAAGATGGCCATCCCCCGCCGAATGTGTTTGCTCATTGGAAGAATGTATATGTAGTAGAGCAGAATAATTCCATTTTAAAAGGTCTTTTGGTAATGAAAACTGATGGCTATAGTGATTACAGATTTGAAACCTATGTGAATACTGATGGCTGAAAATAACAAAGGGCAATAACTGAAAAATAATGCAGGGTAGGTTATCATTCTTGTGTGCTACATCCCTTCCCAGTAAAATCTATCCACCTATGAAGTTTCAAGTTGATACCTCAAATACTTTTTGAGAAAAAAATTGAATTGAAAAATTAAGTATGAAAAATAACAAAGGGCAATAACTCAAAAACTATAAAAGGTAGAGTTATCATTCTTGTGCAGTGCACACCTCCTGAGTGAGATCTATGCACCTATGAAGTTTCATTTTGATATCTCAAAGTCTTTTTGAGTTATGCTCTGGACAAAAATTAATTTTGAAAAATATCAAAGGGCAATAACTCAAAAATAATGCAGGGTAGAGTTATCATTCTTAAGCACTGCACTCCTCCTCAATGAGATCCATCCACCTTTGAAGTTTCAAGTTGATACCTCAAATACTTTTTGAGATAAGCTCTGGACAAAATAGCATGAAAAAAAAAACAAAGGGCAATAACTCAAAAACTGTATAGGGAAGAGTTATCATTCTTGCGCACAACATTCCTCCTCAATAAGATCTATCCACCTATGACATTTCATGTTGATATCTCAAACACTTTTTGAGTTATGCTCCACTCAGGTGAAAAATTAGGTATGAAAAATAACAAAGGGCAATAACTAAAAAATTATGAAAGTTAGAGTTATTATTCTTGTGCACTTCACACCTCCTGAGTGAGATCTATGCACCTATGAAGTTTCATGTTAATATCTCATAGGCTTTTGGAGTTATTCTCTGGACAAAATCAATTTTGAAAAATAACAAAGGGCAATAACTCAAAAATCATGCAAGGTAGAGTTATTATTCTTGTGCACTGCACTCCTCCTTAATGAGGTCTATCCACCTATGAAGTTTCAAGTTGATAACTCAAATACTTTTAGAGATATGCTCCGGACAAAAATGTCGGACGGAAGGACGGACGGACGGAAGGACGGAAGGTCGGACGGACGGACGGACGGATGGACGGACGGAGACTATTTCTATATCCTCCGCCGAAAATTTTCGGCGGGGGATAATAAAATATCTACAATAAATATTCTTTAATTGGCGTCCGCGCCGAAGCGCGACGCTCCTTATGGAATGAAATCAGATTTTGTGAAAGGGCAATTGCAACTTCTCGGGCCTTTTTGTCTGTCATAATAGACGATCATTCCGATTTGTATGAGGGTGTTTGATTATCAAAAACGAAATTTCGCGATATGTACAATGAATAGCGAACTGGACAAGTTCGCAATGCAAACATATTCAAATGATTTATCTTATCCGTCAATTAATCGCGCTCGTCGTTGTTTGTTTTATTAATCTTGTGGGTTATTATGTATGTTACTGCTGTACCTATGAATAGAATGATGACCTTAACATTGTGAAAGCCCGAAAATCTATTTATAGAAGAATTTTTAGTTTAACGGAACGGTCATTCGTGTCACGTTATGGTAATAAATAACGAACTGGAGAATTTTGCAGGAAATTAAATACAAACATATTCAAACAATTAATCGCACTCTTTATAAATCTACAGAAAAAATTAAGTAGGCCATTTTTACGAATTGTTATATCATAGTAATATCATTTTGAAATTGTCTCTTCCGTAGGTCTCTCCGGTTTTCTTTTTTACGGCCCTGATTGCACTTATGACATTTTTACCGTGAATATATGACCTAGTTCATAACTTTAAATGTCGCTTTTATTTTGACATTGTGCGACAGTTAACATGTGTAGCAGTAGTACACTATAGTTCAAGTCTCTTTAGCTAACACTATATTTTGTTTGAAGGCAATCGATTTTATGGAAGTGGGAATATTGTGACATATAACAACAGAAGTTTTCGTCTGCAATTTTAACATGATTTGTTTTGGGTTTATTGATAGGAATGTAAACACACTGGTGGGTCAGACGAGGTTTTTGAAGTAATTCATTAAAATTGAAGATTGACCTCCAAATAAATCAAATGCACAGTTCATTTTGACTACTTTTTTGTATGTTCCAAAGAAAAAAACCACATGAACTTGAAATTCTATCAAATAACCAATATTCATGATAATATCCAAAAATACCCCTTTATATTATAAAGAAACTTATACCATACATGGGGTATATTTGGGATATTATAGACCTGTATTTTTTTGATATTATCGTTAATATTGATAGAATTTCAATTTCCTGTGGAAAAAAAGAACATTTAATATTCTAATCTCTAGCATGCTTTGTAGAAGCACATTTGTCTCGGAACACATTTGTCTAACGTAAGACCGTTGCGGTCGCATTTGTCCCACATGATACAAATGGGGCCACAAGTGTCTAACCGAAAAAACTCATTTGTGTGACAAATGTGCTCCGATGAAGTTTTTTAAGGGACAAGAAAGCACATTTGTCTCATGCTTTTTAAGGGACAAGAAAGCACATTTGTCTTACGTCATTTTTTTAATGAATTATTTGTCACGTATTTTCCCACGTCAGAATTTTTTTAGGTTTGCCGTTTTACCTCATGTCAAGTGTAATAATCATCAATAGGTTTGCTAATGCTTTTTATGAAATTTTAAACCTAAAAAATACAGTGGAACAATTTATTCTAATACTTCTAATTCAACAAATTTGATTGGCTGAACCTTAAGGCGTACACTGAAACATACGGAATCCCGTTCACGTACCCGATGGTATACGATGATGAAAAACGCGATAGAACAATCGTGAAACAACGAATGCACGATGATGAAAACGTGATGTTACGATGGTAAAAACACGATATTACGATGGTGGAAATACGATTGTACGATAATGAGACTGCGATGACATGATGATAAAAACTTGATATTATTTTTACCATTGTGTCATCGCATCATCGTGATTTCACCATCGTGCGATCGTTGTTTCATCATCGTGCCATCGTGTTTTCATCATCGTAACATTGCGCTTTTACCATTGTACCATTATGCATCGCAGTTCAGGAAGACAAAAAATGTAACTTGTGTTCAAACTCAAAACCGTAATCAGGTGATATTTGAATGATACAATATCGTGACTAGTTTCGCATCTCGCCGGAATCTTAAGTTTCGCTTCGCAACTCGTACGTCGACGCGAGACAAGAAATCATTTAAGGTCATATACTTCTAAATAGTATCCCCTTTATTTTCTTTGTAAAACTGACATTTTTCAAAGAGCTAAAAAGCATAGCTAGACCAATTTTAGTGAACAAATTCTTATCTAATTTTAAAAAGTTATGATAAAACTGATATAAAATTAGAATAGTGGGGTTCATGAATCTTCTAAGAATTATTTCTAGCGTCACATTTGCTACTGTAAAATCACTTAAAAGTCACACTACTGTGACGTGGAAGAACCACCAATACTAAAATTGAAATTCATTTTATCAAATACAAACTTTGCCTGCATTTTTTTTACCAAAATGTCATAAACATATCCATGATGAAATTTAAACAGAAGACAGATTAAATTTAGACGTCTATTACCTACCGAGATTACTCGAAAAGCGAAATTCCGGCACAACATGAAATTTAGGCACGATATTCTACCGTGAAATCTCATGGTACGGGATACTTCGGCATTGCGAGATCACGTATTACAATATCGTGCCTCGCTTCGTGTCTCGGCGGAATGCTGCGTCTCGTCCGATTCTGCGAGGCCCGATATCATAATTATTACCCTGATTCATTTTGGAACTCATGCACGTTGTAAGTGCTTTTGCAATGGCGGATCTGAAAGCAGCAATTCTCGGAAAATGACGATATTTTTATATATACATTCTGATGAATGGTCTTCTGATTTTCTTCCTTAGATCATTTAGGAGCCTTCATGGCCGAGTGATTTAAAAAAAAACAACAACACTTTTAGGTTCGACACTCACTCGGGGTGTCGAACTATACATGTGAGGAAGCCCGTCCAGGGTCCAAATGCGGAATACCTATCCGTGTGTGCACGTAATAGTTATCGCGAGCGCACTCAATACCTACCCCTTTAGAACGTAATAGCTATCGCATGCGTACATAATAGTATCACGTGGCCAAGTAAAAGCCATCACGTGCACACGTTATAAATAAGAAAATCATATGTCCCCTTATGTCACCGTATATACTACCTTGTTGTTTCTTAGAATATATCTTAAATCATTTATAAGACTTAAAGCATCGGAAAGAAACGTGTAACAATTAATAACGATAAGATTGGACTTGCTGCATATATGTTTGGGTTGGTAGAAACTTTCACTGTGACATGCAGAGCAGGGATATTCTTTAACTTAATTTATGACTCCAATGCAGAGGCAGGAAGTTTTTGATTGACCGGAAGTGGCATAAAAATGGTATTACAGAAAATACAGAAAGCCCAGAACAATTTTTATAACCGCCTTTTCGGACAATTACAATTTACTAAGCAGACACAGTTTTCTTTTTAAGTAAAATTTTATGGAAGAATGTGAGACAAATGTGCTTCGAGTGTCCTTTCTATTGTGTGTCGAACACATCCGTCTCATTTCCAATTTGTCGCAAATATAATTGTTTACGAGCACATCGGTCACACCTCGTGAGACAAATGTGCTCCGAGACAAATGTGGTTCTACAATGCTTACCAAAGTTCATGATGAACAATGTCTTTTGTCTGCCCATTTATAAATGATATACAATTCTGGTAAAAACCAATTAACCATAGAAAAGTATAATTATATAAGAATATCTGGTCATCAGAAGTCTACTTGTTCATCTTCACTTGCTGCATTTCTTGCTTTGCATCAATGCTTTTCTTGTATACATTTATAACGCAAGACAGGGTCTTTATATGTATGCGTTTTTGAGCGTGTGCGTCTTGAGGCGGCTTGCACCAGATCAAGACTTCCGAAAATAGTAAGTATAACATGACATTTAACTTTTTCATTTTCAGGCATTTTAATGGTGTTTGCCTGGACATTGTTTTCAACACTAGGGGTATTTGCCGCACGTTTCTATAAAACAGCATGGCCAGAAGATGTAGAATGGTTCGGTGTTAAACCTTGGTTCACGGTAAGATTATCATGCCGTCAACATAACATACCACAGACAATTGGTATGTGGAGCGGAGTTCCAAACGCCTTAACATCCAGATATAATGTATGCTTATCATATACATCAATAAAACTTTATATCAGCTGTTTTGGAATAAATAAAAAAAATAAATAAAAAAGGGTGCTGGAAAAAAACCCACATACCTTACTATTCCATTTCCAATATTTTCATATAATCCTTTTGTCCATCGACGCATATTATCCCCACAATCATGTTCAATATATTAAGTTTTATTGATTTATATGTGCTGGGATTAACAACTATACATTTTATTTGGATTTTAATGTGTTTAGAGCTTCACACCCCATGTGGCTGTGTCATAGACGGACTGGGAAGGCTGTGTCATAGACGGACTGGGAAGGCTGTGTCATAGACGGACTGGGAAGGTTGTGTCACAGACGGACTGGGAAGGCTGTGTCATAGACGGACTGGGAAGGCTGTGTCATAGATGGGCAGGGAAGGCTGTGTCATAGACGGACTGGGAAGGCTGTGTCACAGACGGACTGGGAAGGCTGTGTCATAGACGGACTGGGAAGGCTGTGTCATAGATGGGCAGGGAAGGCTGTGTCATAGATGGGCAGGGAAGGCTGTGTCATAGACGGACTGGGAAGGCTGTGTCATAGACGGACTGGGAAGGCTGTGTCATAGACGGACTGGGAAGGCTGTGTCATAGATGGGCAGGGAAGGCTGTGTCATAGATGGGCAGGGAAGGCTGTGTCATAGACGGACTGGGAAGGCTGTGTCATAGATGGGCAGGGAAGGCTGTGTCATAGATGGCAGGGAAGGCTGTGTCATAGATGGGCAGGGAAGGCTGTGTCATAGATGGGCAGGGGAGGCTGTGTCATAGACGGACTGGGAAGGCTGTGTCACAGACGGACTGGGAAGGCTGTGTCATAGACGGACTGGGAAGGCTGTGTCATAGATTGGCAGGGAAGGCTGTGTCATAGATGGGCAGGGAAGGCTGTGTCATAGACGGACTGGGAAGGCTGTGTCATAGATGGGCAGGGAAGGCTGTGTCATAGATGGCAGGGAAGGCTGTGTCATAGATGGGCAGGGAAGGCTGTGTCATAGACGGGCAGGGAAAGCTGTGCCATAGACGGACTGGGAAGGCTGTGTCATAGATAGGCAGGGAAGGCTGTGTCATAGATGGGCAGGGAAGGCTGTGTCATAGACGGACTGGGAATGCTGTGTCATAGATGGGCAGGGAAGGCTGTGTCATAGATGGGCAGGGAAGGCTGTGTCATAGATGGGCAGGGAAGGCTGTGTCATAGATGGGCAGGGAAGGATGTGTCATAGATGGGCAGGGAAGGCTGTGCCATAGACGGACTGGGAAGGCTGTGTCATAGATAGGCAGGGAAGGCTGTGTCATAGACGGACTGGGAAGGCTGTGTCATAGATGGGCAGGGAAGGCTGTGTCATAGATGGGCAGGGAAGGCTGTGTCATAGATGGGCAGGGAAGGCTGTGTCATAGATGGGCAGAAAAGGCTGTGTCATAGATGGGCAGAAAAGGCTGTGTCATAGATGGGCAGGGAAGGCTGTGTCATAGATGGCAGGGAAGGCTGTGTCATAGATGGGCAGGGAAGGCTGTGTCATAGATGGGCAGGGAAGGCTGTGTCATAGATGGGCAGGGAAGGCTGTGTCATAGATGGGCAGGGAAGGCTGTGTCATAGATGGGCAGGGAAGGCTGTGTCATAGATGGGAAGGGAAGGCTGTGTCATAGACGGGCAGGGAAGTAATAATCGGCCCTGAAATAAGTATGTATTGTCTTCGGGCCAAAGCACTTCTCTGCCGTGTATCAAATTCTTAAAATAATACTTATAATAAAGGGGCCTAGAGATCTATAGGAGAATAGAGGTTTAGAATGTAGGATATATGCATATGGTTTGTGGAATATTGACGTATAGACAATAATATGGTTCATTTTTAAGATTCACATATGCTTATTGTTCATGTTCTGTGTTACATATTTCAGATACATAGGACGTGTATGGTGTGCGTGTTAGTTCTTACACTGATATCTTTCATCATGATTTTTGTTGACGTTGGCGGATATGTCACTGTAAGTCCCATTTTCATATACATATATTAATACAGACCAGTTACATTGTCAATGATAATTATAACCTTCAATGTTGTATTACATTCGAAGTTTCCTCATAAACATATTGTTACTGTGTACTTTGGTTACATTTTGAAAGGGTATAAAACTATAATGAAATATTTTTATAAAATAAAAAGGGTAAATACTGTAATTTTTTGGTCAATTCTCAAAAGAGTTTTTAACATATATGAATATATTGTACTTGGACTGAGAAAGGTTTAAACCTATTTCGTGCATTTTCAGCAAATATACATATTTCTTTCGTACAGGTATTTTGGAATATTTTTCTTTCAAAATTCAAAGTATGATTTTGTAAACTACAGTCAAAATATATATAAATTAATTTAAACACTTTAACTCTTAATAAGTTTTTTCCCCTAAAATCTAACGTTCTTACATCATTCAGATAGTTGGAACAACCTTCAAGAAGTCACATCCGGTGCTTGGAATCATAGTCATGGCTCTTGTCATTCTTAATGTAAGTATACATTTTTGTCACATCATATTCGCTTCCCTAGTCGTGCGTAATGTTACATCCAGGACTTTCAATAACTGACATTGTCCTAGCCGTGATTTTAGTAAGTATTTAAGTATTTGTCACATCTGGTGCTTGGAGTCATCTTCACTGTTATGTAAGTGTACATAATAATCATATCCGGTGCTTGGAATAATCCTCACTGTTACGTAAGTGTACGTATTTGTCACATCCGGTGCTTGGAATCATCTTCACTGTTATGTAAGTGTACGAAATAATCACATCCAGTGCTTGGAATAATCCTCACTGTTACGTAAGTGTACGTATTTGTCACATCCGGTGCTTGGAATCATCTTCACTGTTATGTAAGTGTATGTTACTCTCACATCCGGGGCTTGCTGTAATCGACAATGTCTTGTGAGCATGCACATTAAAATTTTAACTATGCATAAAGGTGTTTTAGAAAAACACACAAACATTTTTTCTTGGAAGATAAAAAAACTTAACGTTCTATTAAGTTCATTGAAATATTACATTTTTACATACTATTTTTGATACATATCACACATACGTTGTTTGTTTTAGCCTGTCATGGCTTTCTTCCGTCCTAAACCAGGGACAACAAAAAGATTTATTTTCCGAGTGGCTCACACCTTTGTGGGAGTAGCTGGGCAGATCATGGCGGGTAAGTAAATAAACTATAATTTTTTTTATTTTTTTTACGTTTTTCTTCCTTCGTAGGAAAGTACATTTTGGAATATTAAATCATAATATTATCAAAATATTATTTACACTTAAAAAGTTATAGCCCTTTT